GATGTATCGAAAACAACGATCGTTGACTTTGAATAAAAGGAGATAATACTGGTTCTAATGCACTCTCCCTATGTGTCTTTTGCAGTTGAACAACCTACTTTATCATCATGAAAATGTTTTATTTTTGTTTAAAAAGATATTCGTATTCTTTTAAAATACATTGTTTAGTTATTTATAACGGTATAAATCATAATGATAATAATGTTGATGTGAACCTGAGATGCATCGCTGGACATGATTTATATATTCTACATTTTTATTTATATACTATATACTATTACAATATATGTTACGTTATATTATACTCTACAATGTCTATCATGTGAGTTGCTTATATTGTGTATGTATTTAATTATAATTGTTGCAATTGGTTGTAAATGCCCCTTGTGAGAACATGATTGGTTTAATTGATATTTGAATTTGAATTTAGAGAGGCCAACAAACGCTCTCCAACAATAAATATGTAGGTATGTTTAATTCACCAGGTGCACTGTATCAAAACGAAATGGACTAAATAGTAAAGTATCGCTTCCATTTGAAATGGTAAAGTTATTCATAATTATTTTAGTCAAGCTACATATAAAACTCCTACTATTGTAGTAGTAATTTAACCAGGACAATTTTCGTTTATTATGTCATTTCTGAAGTCACATTTTTACCCTAATATTTAATTTTCTATTTTCTGAATTTCAATGATTTCATATGTAGGCTGTTGTTTGTCGTAAGCATGGTAAGTGTTAACTAACCAATTAAATTGTAAAATGACGATGATGGGGCTTTCATAAACAGATTGTGTGGGTGCTTTTAAAATAATGTAGAACAATGTAAAAATCAAACAATCGATATTCTTCTCCCCCATTGCAATGGCATTAAACCACTTGTGTTCACGCCTATATATTGGTGAGTTTGGTAGCTTCTATGGGCCATTTGGAAATCTTCGGAAACAAGATTCTCGGAACCTCTCGAAAATTTTCGATCATTTATCTATGTCTTTGATACGGTTCCTCTATGGATAGGCTTCCACTTGACATTGTATATTTCAACAATCAAAGTTCATTTGTAGATCGGAAAATTAAAAAAAAAGTCTAGGTTGCAGTCAAAAAATCATTTATATATTGGAACCTATTTGCCTTTTGACAAAACCTATTTGTTTTTAATAATGCGAATGTTTATTAAATTCAAGTATAATAATAACGCAATTATATAATTCATGTTTTGAGACGATCCATGTACGCGTTGCGTGTGTAGTATTTAATACAGCGTGATATTGTGCGTTGTGACAATAAACCTGGGAATAGTTTATTAACGTATAATGTCCCAGAAAAAACTGATTAATATTTCTGAACCTTTTCCACGTGATATTTTATATTTCAATCATAGCCTGAGAAAATGTCAGAAAGCATTAAGAAAATTAACAAAACGATATTTCTGTTATAAATATTTATCTTAGGTCGGAAACACAGTGGTCGGAAAGCAGAAAGATAATTAAAGAAAAGGATTTTTCTGTCAAAAATAATTAATTTTATTAATAGATACTACCAGACCAAGAGAATATTCATCAAAATTATTAACTTTAAACTTAGACTAAATTTATCCTTAATAGAATACAATTAAAAATGTTATACGTGTATTATGTCCCAAAGGTTTGAAAAGTGAATACATTTATGAAAATTATATACAACATATGAGCACCAATGAGCAGGGATGCATACAACAAGTAAGTATCTAAATTTCAAACGCTAGTGAATGAAAAAAATACTTGCATGGTTTCAATTGACAAGGATTTTAAATCCTTGCATCTCACAAAAAACTTTTTACAATAATCATAAAAAAATTTAGTTACGACTTTAATTATTTTATACTGTTTTAGTATGGTTTTATAAGTCTCTGCTTATATTTCGTATAGCAACATATTATTGCATGCTGGGAAAACGGGCCCTTTAATTGGATTTAAGGGCATACGATACAGTTTTGATCCCACGGTGATTTTTTTACGAAAATTTGCATACAAGCTATTTTTCACCTAGTCATTTCAAATATGTAATAAAAAATATACCTTCATGTGCTACTTTAAGAGGTAAATGGGGTCGAAATTTTAGACTTTTACTCAAAATTTCGGTTTTTTTTGGACATTTCTATTCTTTGGATAGACAGACCTAACTTTTTTGTTTCAAAAGATAAACACAAGCGGATTCTTGCAAAACATTTGGAAAATCTTCTTTACATAACTAAATGTGTGTAACAATTCTTTGGAAATAATTAATTTTTATCAAAGTTTCATGATTTTAGAAGAAAAAAAACGACATTTTTTGCAGTATATTTATCTAATTTAAAATATTTCATCGGTGAATTTTTCATAAAAATTGGTACAAATAATCTTCATACGTAATCGAACCTAATGTCATTTTAAAAGAGAGGGGTCCATAAACTCGTTTTCAAGTTTAATTAGTCTGAATGATAAAAATCAGTCGAAAAATGCATCTTTTCCCGATATGTCACAGTTTGACGTCGCGAAAATAACATTTTACGTTAGCAACGTCATTACCTCCCCTGTAACTGTATCGTATGCCCTTAATAAAGTATTCATATTCGTATTCGTATCGTGGAAAGTAAGACTTTAAGAAGAGATTGATTTTATAAATAAAACGTCAAATACTTTGTGTTTATTCATATTATATCTTAATTTTCGGAAAAGATTTATAAACAGGAATTTATGTTTATCAAAATCTTCAATTCAAGTTTTTTTGTTTTTAATAGTTCAACCTTATAGCATCTAAATCTTTGAAATATGGAACGATTTTGAAAATTGTATTCATTGTGTTGACCAGCTATCCTACACACGTCTTGACTCATTTACATTGTATATCACCTGTTCACACGACACACTATCGGTTTGCGTTCACCCAAATTCCAGATTAAATAAATACAATGAATCAAAACACTTCAGGTAGGTAGTTTGACATCCGAATTCAACTGTTAAACAATAGATTTGAGCCTAGATTAATACATGTATATCTGATGACGCAAATGCGTATTCATATCAAGAGTATCAGTGCGTACGCTTTCTATTAACTATTTCTTGCGCAAGAAAACCACGTGCATGCATAAATATTAATTTTACTCGCGAATGTGAATTTTCGCATTTCTTATCTAAATTCCGGACATGACAGTAAGAGCTTGACATGTGACTTTCGAGCATGGTCATAATTACTTAAGGTATTCTGACCTCTAGCTGTTTCTCTTTTTTGTTTCTTTTTTTTTTAAGTGACTGTCCTTTTATAAACTTTGACATTTTCGAAATGCTAAGGATTTTTTTACCCCAGGAATAGATTACCTTAGATGTATTCGACAAAACCTTTGTTTCGAAATTTTGGGTCCGCAATGCCTTTAAACTTCGTAATTTTTATTTGGCCTTTTTAATAATCTTATTCACTGATGAGTCTTTTGTATACTAAACTCACGTCTGGCGTACAACATTTTAATTCTGGTATCTTTTATATATCTACATATCTTTTTATATAAATTGTTCTCTTTTGAGAGTATGTTCAAGTATTCATAAAACATCTGAAAATAAGATATTCTTCAAAACCAAATTTTCCTGTAGAATATTTGGATTGATTTAAGTAACTTAAAAAAATCCTTAAAATTTGATGTTTTATGAGACCAAAATAATTGTCAGTATATAAGAGGTCCCAATGAAATTGCTGTGTTAATCTCAAGAAAGATATGTACGAAACCTTCTTATATAAGTTGCATGCCACAGGGTACAGACAGCTTCAATAACGAGTATAAGAATAATTGAAGGCATCCAGGAAACAAAATATGAAGATATGATAGATAAAATGAATCCAGGTTATAAAGCAAACTGAGTGCTTAAATTTATATTGCGATTGGTTTGTGCAATTTGCATTAGAAATCCGGTTTGCAGAAACTGGGATTTGCAATAGTTTTAAGAAAAAATGATGTACACAATGTTTTGATGACCAGTCGATCAGCGGGCTAGGGTTCAGGTATTGCTTTTCTTCTTTTTTTAAAGAAAGCAACTTGTTTTAATTCTCTAAACTTTTCACAAGTATTTATCAAACTGACCTAAAGAAAAAAATGAAAATTTAGTCAAACTGTGCCGCCTGGTCCAATCTAGCTTCGCGCCGCAGTATACTGACAAGTTGGGCCAGGACCCCAGGCTTATATTGTTCGACAACTATCTTAGATAGTATTTATATATAACATGCCATATCCACACATATATACGTTATCCGATAGTGTTTGATTATAAACATGTTATTTTATAGGTAATAAAGCCACATTTAGCATGCTACGTCCGTTGTAAACTTAGACAGAAACTGGTTGTCATGGATGTCTCCTCCTATAGCTACTTGTCAATCACAGGAATTTGAATTTGAAAAATAGCTGTGCTTCAGGATTTTGATTTAAAATATCTTTACTGTAGATTATATTACTTTCTCACATTATGGCCTAAACTGACCATTATTTATGTTCTGACAACTGTACAAGTGTAATAGCATAGAAGATAGCAATTTTTATGATTAATTTTGAAAAATGCTTCTCACTTCTTTATCCTGCCCAATATTTGAAAACATCCATATTTTCAGGAGTTGTCTCCCTTTTATATTCTAGCCCCGGTCTTTTAAAAGAGTACCAGCTGCTGTTAATTTATATACCGTTTGTTTTCAAAGATATCCATGCATTTTCAGTAGCGTCGTCAATCTTCGCCAATGTACTTCCGTGTTTATGACAATATCGCTTGAGAAAGAAAATTGGCTTTGAATTAATTTACTATTATTGAAACCTGATTTATAGTACATTGCTTTTATTTTTGAACATTTGTTTTTGCATAATATTCTAAATTGGGTGTTTCTTAGATGTTGTATACAGTTATCTGAGAACAAAGTATTTCCTTACATCAAAAAAATCACAATTGCAACATTTACTCAAATTAAAATGTTAATAAATACTCTAATTTACATTATTATATTAACCTGTGCCTCAAACCAGTCAAGTTTATTTAAACCAAAGAAGTAGCAGTGATTTCTATATCTCGTCCATCCTTTCTGACAACCACCCGTTTCTCCGACTGTGCTGACTATGTTGTCAAAATAAAGTAAAAACCAATTTTCATACTAGGTTTACAACAATCTTATCATAAGATAAACATGCATTACCTATAATCTCATAAATGGAAATACACAATGTACCAATTATTGTAGTTGTATATAAAGATTTTTTACAAAATACCCTATTAACGATATTTAGCAGTCTATCATAAAGTATCTTCTTTTAGAGTATTTTCTAAAGGAACCTCAACATTTCTCAAATAAATATGCATATCAGAATTCGTTAACTCATTCAAGTGTGTTTTGTATATTGCAGTCGGTGGGTGACCAGTCCTTGTATTTTAACACACTTCTAGTTATAAAGCTATAAAGGTAAAACGCAATCTAATTCATATTAGATATTTAATTCCTCAACCTTTTCTGTTATGTCGAGCATAAAGCTATATATATATATATATATATAATTTAGACTAGATATTTATATATACAAGTCTAAATTGAAAACAACGTTCAAACATATGATTGCGTTGGATAAAAACCGCAATTTTTATACGTGTACACGCAAAACAAATTTCTTGGTAGAGTGGTCTAAATACAGCACAAACAACATTTTCCAAAAGACCAAAAAAGTGAAAAAGTATATTTTAACAAAACGCATTTGACTAGCAGGTCGAACAACGGATGTTCTTAAACCCTGCTGACTGCCATGGCGATTGTCAAATAAACGGATAACCAGATGTAAAAATGGATCTTAATTATTAATTTAATACCAAACAGAAAACAATGAACTTGCGGAAAAGATGGTATACCGCAAATATGAGGTGCAAAAATTTGTACACAATATCCGGATTTCGACAATTAATGTATCTTCAGTGATGTTAGGAATCAAAACGGTATTTGGAAGGCCATATAATTTACCTCAATTTGGGATTGACTCTTGAATTTTGAAGAGTCGAAATAGGATGAACGGATCATATAAACCCGAAGGCAAATATAATACAAGCCCAAACGAAAAATATAAACAAGTCTAAATTGAAAACAACGTTCAAACCTATGATTGCGTTGGATAAAAAACGCAATTTTTATACGTGTGCACGCAAAACAAATTTCTTGGTAGAGTGGTCTAAATACAGCACAAACAACATTTTCCAAAAGACCAAAAAAGTGAAAAAGTATATTTTAACAAAACGCATTTGACTAGCAGGTCGAACAACTTTATACCTATTGGACTACATAACAGCTGCAAAAATAGATGTATCAACATACGTTTTAAGCTTTCTTCTAATCCAATGATCTGAGAATTGAGTTTTTGCATACTGTTTCTAATGGTTTTCAAAATATTTTTCTCTTTGGGTGCAAGACACGTCTGTTTTCCATCTACATTGAGCAAGATGGTGCACAAAGCAAGTAGGTATAATATAGTCAGCATCGTTATCATAGAAAACAAGTTACCGCTGAAATAATACATAAAAAAAATTTTTCAGTCAAATGAAAATTTGAGGGACAAAAATAAATAATCAAATATTTTATTTTATATTTATTCATTTTGCTGTTGGTATATCACATCTGACTAAAACATCATATGCGCATCTGTCATTACTTATTGTGTCCAGCTGATAAAAAGATAATTGGCTTGGAGAAATTATGCTCACTAGGGGTGTTTGTCCGATCATGGAAGTATTATATTGATATCAATTCTAGATATTGATCGGACCATGGAAGTATTATATTGTCAATTTATTGTAATTTATCTGTTTGATTCAAATAGACACTTTTTTGTTATGCTTACTGACCAAGAAAAGTGAATGACCAGCACAGATTATTCAACATTACAATTCAGTAAAATTGAGAATGGAAATTGGGAATGGGTAATGTGTCAAAGAGACAACAACCCGACCAAAGAGCAGAAAACAGCCCAAGGCCATCAATGGGTCTTCAACACAGCGCAGATTTTGTATGAATATGTATGGCTGGGTATGTTTTGTATAAGATTCAAGATATATATTCTGTCCTCGCTATTTATTATTTTTGGCAATCAGTATACATTGAGATTGTTCCAAATGTTTTTGCATTTACATATTTCCTCTTACACGTAAACGCTTTCTACGCGTTTATTTCCATATGTATTTTGTATGAACTTTTGAATATCCAATTCCACCAACAGTTGAAATATTCTAAAATTCTGTAATGTCACAATTATTAATACTGAGGCACGACTGAGTAGTCTGCTATTTTTCAACCTCCTAAATGCTCTTGAATTCCGCGTAAGCGGAAAAGCCGACATAAAAATGAATACAAATAATGCGATAAAATTTGTTATAAGAAACATGACGCAATTAACTTCTACGAAGAGGTGTTAAATTATTACTGAAAATCAATGATACTGAGTTTGATCCTTTTGGTGCACTTATCTAGATCATCTTCATCGGCAACCTTATCACAAACCTTTAATGCCAAAAGTTTGGAAATCAAAACTTGGGTTGCTGTCTCGATGACAATATCCCAAGCATTATTTCATTAATATGATGTATAAACAGAATAATGACGTATAACCTAATGTTTCAAAATAACTATCAAGCTTTAAAGTGTCCAAAATCGATATCTAGACGAGCTCAATTCAACCGAGACCAGAAGATCTCACATCAGCACCAAATGTCCAAATTGATAGAAAGATATAAATACATAAAATATTTTGACAAAAGAAAAACGAATTGGTACAATATAGTGTAATGATAACGGATGAAATTGTTAATTGAGAAACATTTTATGACTGTATTTGAGATTCTAGAAAATACAAACATCATAGAAGTTTGATGGAAAATTCTTCCAACATCAAATAAAAACATGATGATTATGTTATTTTTTCAAGCTGGTGTAATTAACAGATGAAAAGTAAAATTCAAACCTTTTATTCTTTCTATATTTGCTGTGATCATGTACTCGCAATTGCTGCAGTTTCTGGGAAAGGTAGCGTCAGCAGTTTCTTACTGATTATTCCTACTGATTATTGCGTGTACAATAACATTAGAATATCAGTTCCAAAAATCTATAAATAACTTGGTCACAGCTTAAACATGCAACCCAAAAGTTTTAATTTCACGCCAATATGTAAACTTTTGAGTTACCAAGAATATACATTTTCATTTTTGTATAGATGAGTGCGAAATATTCCTCAAAAGAAATTAAAGTAAATTTTGAAAATGCTGGTCAACGTCGTCAAAAATTCTACCGATACTCCGGCATCCCATTAGTCGACACTTCAAAAATCCAAAATCTCATTGGTCCGACATCTCAATAATTCGACACCCAATTCATCATGAAACCCCAATATTCTGATACCTCAGTGGACCGTCGGACACACCACTAGTTTAAAATCCAAATATTCGAATAAAGTCAAATCCTATTTTATTTTAAAAAAATATACTTAACGTTTCCATATCAAGCGATGTGGTGTTATGGAACGGGATACTTTCAAAACGGCTTGGACACAGTATGCTAGTAATCGTGGTAATTTAATGTATCTAAAAACTCATCACTCAATCATGATCTCAAAAAGACATGAGAACATTGTTTTCATCTTTTTTGCGTGAACCTGAGGGGTTCACGCTCATATATTGGTGAGTTTTGGAAGCGTATACGGGACATTCGATATCCTCGGAATCAAGATTCTCGGAACGTCTCGAAAATTTTCGATCATTTATACAGGTAGTTATCTATGTCTTTGATACGGTCCCTCTGTGGATAGCTACCACGTGACATTGTATATTTCAACAATCAAAGTTTATTTGTAGATTGGAAAGTAAAACAATAAAGACTAGGTTGCAGTCAAAAAATCATTTATATGCTAAAACCTATTTGTCTTTTGACAAAACATATGTGTTTTTTAATAATGCGAATGTTTATTAAATATCAAGTATAATGATAACGCAATTATATAATTCATGCTTTGAGACGGTCCCTGTACGCGTTGTGTGTGTAGTATTTAATACAGCGTGCTGTTGTGCATTGTTAACCGACGGTGCGAGGGCTAAGCCTTTATAGCCAGTTAAGGTCGTTAAAAAACCCCATCATCAGCATTGTGACAATAAACCTGGGAATAGTTTATTAATATATAATGTCCCAGAATATACTGATTATTTCTGAACGTTTATCATTTGATATTTTGTATTTCAATCATAGCATGGGAAAATGTCGGAAAGCATGAAGACAATTAAGAAAACGATATTACTGTTATAAGTATTTATCTTAGGTCGGAAACACAGTGGTCGGAAAGCAGAAAGATAATTAAACGAGGATTTTTCTGTCAAAAATATCTAATTTCATTAATAGATACTACCAGACCAAGAGAATATTCATTATGAAGTTTAAACTGAGACTGAATTTATTCTTAATAGAATATAATTAAAATTGTCGAACATACGTGCATTATGTCTCACAGGTTTGAACAAACATTACATTAATGAAAATCATATGCAACGTATGAGAACCAATGAGCAGGGATGCGTATCCAAAGTTAGCTAAATATTTAAATTTTAAACGGTCGTGGTTCTAATTCACAAGGATTTTAAATCCTTGCATCTCACAAAAAACGTAATTAATATTTTACAATAATCATAACAAAATTTAATTACTATGTTAATTATTTTATACTGTTTCAGTATGGATTAATAAGTCTCTGCTTATATTTTGTATAGCAATATATTCATATAGTGGAATGTTAGACTTTAAGCAGAGATTGATTTGATAAATAAAATGTCCATCCGTAAATACTTGACGTTTGTGTTTATTGATATTATATTCTAAATTTTCGGAAAAATTCATTAACAGGAATATATTTAATTATAAAATTTCAATTCTTTGTTGTTTGTTTGTTTTAATAGTTCAACCTTATAGCATCTTAAATATTTGCACTATGATACGATTTTGAAAATTGCATTCATTGTGTTGACCAGCTATCCTACACGTCTTGGTTCATTCACATTATACATCACCCTGTTCACATGCACACTGTCGGTTTGTGTTCACACAAATTCCGGATTAAATGGCAATTAATAGCATGTGATGACGCAAATGCGTATTCTTATACAGAGTATCAGTGCGTATGCTTTCTATTTACTATTTCTTACGCAAAAATACCACGTGCATGCATAAATATCCATTTCACTCGAGAATGTGAATTCTCGCTTTTCTTATCTAAATTCAGGACACGGAAGTAAGAGCTTGACATGTGACTTTCAAGCACGGTCATCATTACTCACGGTATTCTGACCTCTAGCTGTTTCTCTTTTCTTTTCTTTTTTGAGTCACTGTCTTATTATAAACTTTGACATTTTCGAAATGCTATGGATTTTCTACCCCAGGAATAGATTACTTTAGATGTATTCGGCAAAACCTTTGTTTTGAAATTTTGGGTCCTGAATTCCTTTCAACTTCGTACTTTATTTGGCCTTTTTAACTTTTTATCATTCGAACGTCACTGATGATTCTTTGTAGACTTAACTCGCGTCTGGTGTACAACATTTTAATCCTGGTATCTTTTTATATCTACATATCTTTTTATATAAATTAGTTCTTTTGAGAGTATGTTCAAGTATTCATAAAATTTATGAAAACAAGATATAGTTCAAAACCAAGTTTTCCTGTAGAATATTTGGATTTATTTAAGTAAAATCAGGAAATCCTTAAAATTTGAGAAGTTTTATGAGACCAAAATAAGTCTCTATATAAGAAATATACGAACCCTTCTTATAAGTTGCATGCCACAGGGTTTCACTTCACACGGAAATTGGACTTTAAATTTATCTATACAACATCTACCATGAGTACAGACAGCTTCAATAACGAGTTGAGAATAATTGAAGGCATCCAGGAAACAAAATATGAAGATATATGATAGATAAAATAAATGCATCCAGATTATAAAACAAACTGAGTGTTTAAATTTTATAAATTTATATTGCGATTGGTTTGTTCATTTTGCATTAAACATCTGGTTTGTAGAAACTTGGATTTGCAAAAGGGTTATGAAAATATGATGTACACTCCCAAGAAAGAAATGAAATAGTCGAGCCTTAAAATGTATATTCAAATAGTAGCTGTATATATATATATACACTTTTCTATTCACAGCTATCAAACATTGCTTTTAACTGACTTATGCAAGAATCTACACACAATTACATATTTTTAATTAAGGTGTTTTAACATCGTCATTATATATCTTATTCTATTCACAGTCAATTATTTCAATTCAAAAGCAAACACAAATTCAGTAACAATTTTTTGGTGACCATGCAGTCAGCGGTCTTGGGTTCACGTATTGCTTTTCTTTTTTTAAAGAAAGCAACTGGTTTCCAAAATGTATGCTTTCACAAGTTATGAATGGCAAATTTATATCTTACATCCTCTATAAAGACTAACAAAAGTTAAATGACATTTTTAGCCGTACACGCGCGTATCTGGTACAATTTTCCTATTTTTTTGGTTTTCAATGCTCTTTGGTTTGGCGAAATAGCAGCAACTGCTTTGATATGAGCACCGCTTATTTGTTTGGCGTAACAAATTATAAGCCTGGTAATAGTATATTCGATAAGTTTTTCAACCACTGCATGGATCGATGCCATGTACTGCTTGTGGTTGAGCCCATGCATTAGTGAGCACTTCTGTATTGACATGCAATGGAAATATCAATAATACGGTCATTTTCTGTAAATTTTCAGTTTAAAATATTTGAAACATTAAGCTTTCTCTATCCCTAGGCATAGAGGACATAAGCTGGACAATTTGGCACAATTTGTCGGTACTTTTGCTTCATACTGCTCTTCTACTTTTTGGCTTTTGAATTTCTTGAAAAATAAAAAGTTAAATTGCTGTAGATACGAATTATTTATGATATCTCTGAAGTAAAGAGGAGAAAAAATTTAGGCTACAACGAGTTTTTACTGCTAAAATTATTGATATAAATTTGTGATTCAAGCTTCAGTGTGTAAGATAATCCTGATTAATTTAAACTTTAACTATTTGAATAAAGATTATGACTTGAACGCACACAGCGTTTTCTTCATATCTGTTTCGAACCCTGGCTTAACCGTTTTCGTATACTTGTGTGTTGTAGTTAAATACCATTAGGGTCCATATCATTTCCTAGATAAATTCCTCATTTTCTCCAACATGTCCAAGTGAAACTCTCGCCTCGTGGTCACGGGCTCAACACCAACAGTTTTAGTTTTTTTTTTACTCAGAGCAGTACCAAAAAATCCATACCTTGGAATTATGATTTCAGAAGATTTAAAATGGAACACCTACATTAATAATACCTGCAACAAAGCTTGTTCAACATTAGGCTTTCGAAAAAATTGAAAAAAATACAACGAAGGGCCTGACGGTGCCCGTTTCATCAGCAGATAATCTGCTGATCAAATGGGCACCACTTCATTGTATTCTTGCATTTTTTTCGATGTTACCTTCATGTCAAGTAAGGGTCCCAAATTAGCGCTCCATACTCGAGTGTTGATCTCACAAGTGAGATGTAGGCATTTTTCGTGCAAGATGATCACTGAACAGTTGCGCAAATTTCTACAGAGAAAGCATAATATGTTGAACTAGCTTTGTTGCAGATATTATTAATGTGGGTGTTCCATTTTAAATCTTCTGAAATCATAATTCCATGGTACTTACTTATGGGGGTTTTTAACGACCTTGACTGGCTATAAAGCCCTCGCACGGTACGGATTTTTTGGTACTGCTCGGAGTATGTGCTTGTCTAGTTTGTAAAAGTAGGATGATCTGTTCATTATACTGAGTACGTAGCATTTTTTTTTTGGCATTGAAGCGCATGACCCACTTCTTTGCCCATGTTTCTAGCTATTTAGATGTTAGTGAGGTCTAGCCTGGGATCCTGGCCAACTATCGACGAAGTCATGATTAGATTGGGTCAGGATGCCAGGCTAAGTGAGGTCTTCTTGGAGTTTCAGGTGGTCTTCCATTGATCTTATTGGTCGATTCAATAAACAATCGTCAGCAAAAACCCACCAAACACAGAACATTTTAGAAACGTTTTTAAAAGGTTTCAAATAAGTTAGTGTCGAAAAAACGTTTAAGAAATGTTTTTAAAAGGTTAAATTGAAACGTTTTCTATAACTATAGTAGAAATGTTTCTGCAAACATTTTTTAAACGTAAAAAAAACATTTTTTCAAAAATGTTTTTGATGAACATAAATAATACGTTTTAAAACAACGTTTTTAATTTTGTTTTTTAATAATGTTTCAAAAATGTTTTTTAATAAGTATAGAAAAACTTTATAAATCGTGTTTCCCATATCACCGCAATATTTTTGTTTTTAATAATTACTTTCAATTTTTAATTTACAAAAAGTCATCTTCGATCTGTCGATATGATGATATGATATGTCAAAAAAAAGTTCTTGTAGTCTAATAACTGGTTTCTTTTCTGTAGAACCGGGAACCAGTTGTTTCTTATTAGTTAGTTTCGTATTTTATTTCTATATTTCCCTTTATCGCATTTCTAAAGTATTATCATATTCGAAGATAGACATTTTAATTGAGAAACTGAATTATTTACGACAATAATTTGTATTAAAGCAGAATTCTTCATTAGATAAAATTTGTTCGAAACTTCCGGATACTCTCACCTTACCTTACCTTACCTCTGTATCTTTACCCCCTTCAAAGGAGAACCACACAGGTTCTGTGTGTTGAACAGGTGCTTTGGGTGGCGGTGCTCATTATTTACAATGGTGCTGTGAATGTGGATCCCATCACCACAATTTATCCATGAATTTTTGGATCATCCTTCCACCATTATGTACATTATTTACATATATGAGTGGAAGGATGATCCAAAAATTCATGGATAAATTGTGTTCACCGCCTTTTTTAAATTGGGAAAACAACGAGACATGCTAGAAGAGTAGTTCTACAGAATAGCGTTTAGTCTAAGAGGTATGTATAAAATCGATAATCAGTCGATGTATTTTGTAGAAATTGAGACAAATTACTGCATTAATTATTTTCTCCATGACATTCGTATGATTTGCATGAGTCTATTTACATGATTAACAGATTTAACTACTACAGGCATAAATTCACATTCACCACTGCATGATGCCATCACGTGTCAATTTGCCATGCCCGGTGTCCTGACACTCCCTGGTGTTGGGGTGGGGATTGTCCTTGTAAATATTGAACTTTGTAAATACGTTAGTGACACATCTCCATTAATCCCGATAGGGAGTGTACATGGATTCCACTGTACCCTCGCAGCTCTCAAGGGGTTCTTCGGATATCGGAGGAATTTACCAGTACATACATACATACATACATGCCTCATGGGCTACTGGTCTGATTTTTACACGAGTAAAATAAAATTAAGCCTCCGACAGCATAATTAATCATTTAAACTACCCAGAGCGTAGTCAAATAATAATGATGTTTTGTACGGCTTTCTTATTTGATAAAACAAAATGTGGACTCCCTCCTCCAACTTCGTAGCAACAGCAAAAATAAAAAATATCCTTTCAAGACGTCATTTTTGTTTGGACTACCCATAGCCGTGCTGCCAGTGCTGGGCCTCATTTTACAAAATATCTTATGTCTGACTAACACTGAATAAAATTGATTGTAACTTGCCAGTCATGAACAATTCAGTATACCGCAAAATGTAACTGCATTTGATACGTTACACGATAGAAACATATTGATAACAGTTAAAAAGTAATTATAATCAAATGTTATAGTAAATAAAAATATAACGCAAGGGCACCTGACGAACTTGACCTGAAATATGAAATCGGAAACACCAGGTGTAATATCATCAAATTAAAGAAATTCATATACGACCAGTGTTGATTACCACGGCTCATTTACGTTGGGAAAATCCTTTCATATAAATAGATGTGTAAAAGTTTATAATGTAACCACAGAACAATCTACCGAGAAAAGGTCAAAGTAGATTTTAACAGTTAAAGATAATATATATTAATTTAAAGTAAATATATATAAGCGAAAAATGCTATACATATGAAAAAAAAATTTGGCATTAACAAAGCATTAACAGAATAAACCTGTAATTGAAGACAAACATTCAAATGCATATACAATTGCATATAACGTATACACAGCGATACATGAAAAATCATTATAGGTTGCAATTCTGTAAATACTAACAATGCAATTCCCCATAGGAACTCCCTTTGCGGCTAAAATTGTGACACTTTTACTATGAAGTTTCGTGAAAAATAATATCCCAGAACGGAAAGTTTATATGCACTACTATTTTATTCAAAGGTCAAAATATAGGGCTGTGCGGCATATTTTCAACATTTATATGTCCTGAACTTCTAAGAGTTTAAACTTATACTAAAATTCTATACTACCCTTACCTCCATTTTTGGACCTCCTAAGAATTAAAATTTAGCCGCTACCATGTTTTTCAATACTGGTTACATTCCCAAGTGATGTCTCTATGAGATGAAACACAGAGATCATCAATGGGAACCAGTACGTTAACAAATTAACATACCTATGAATATTAAATATCTCCCCAAAAGAGGCGTGGTTTGAGAAACAGCTGTATTTACAAAGTGCAACCTATAGAAACTCGATAAGACTCGGACAAGAAATAAAATATCTTTTAGGCAATAATATTTGTAGGTTTTGCTAAGATTTGTTCATGGACACGATTATTTATAAAACAAATATTTGATTTCACGAAAAATAAATAACAACAGGACTAAATTGTAATTTTGTAGGTCCAGTATTTGGTGTCACAGGGTGGTCACAGCCCTTCAAACTGTAAGGAAGGATGATGAAAAAGGTGTGGCACTAATCAGTTATGGGCCAAATACAGTCTGAAGGGGCAAAAGAGAAAAGAGGCATTCACAGGTCACCCTTTGTGCAGAATAATCATGAGTAAGTTGATTAAGAAAATATGTCGAACTTTAAAAAGCAAGTGCCATTAATATAGATTGGATTTTTATCTGACTTTAATCTCAAAAAGAATTCATATGATGAATATGAATATAATGTTTCTCACTTATTATTTTTGATAGAAACATAGTGCAAAGTTACATAAAGTTATTATATATATATATAAAAGTTTAAGGAAGTTAAAAAAATAATGAAATATATCTTTTTAACTCTGTAATACTTTTTCAGAAAGTTGTGCAAGAGTGTTCCCAAAATCCAAGGTTGCCGATATGGAGGAGGTCTTAATTCCTAAAACAGGCCCCACACAAGCCATGAGGACCAAAATATAAGGTATTTTTCAATTGAATAGAATATCTTAATATACATTTAAGTGGAAGGTTTTATTTATTTAAAAGTTTATTTTTGCAATTTGAATATCTATACACAAATTTCTGAGTCATTTATAGCAATATGACATTTGCCAACCATGCAGAACTTCTGTTTATTTAGAGACAATAGAATAATACATTGTTATGTTCTTGACGATGGAATTATTGTCTTTAACCTGCAAGTAAAACATTGAGATTTACATTTGTAGCAATTGCTTTTGACATGTAAATATTATTTATGTTTTTTGCCTATCTTAATAGTTACTTGGATTGCAAAAAATATCATAATTTCCCCTTTATAGATTTAATGAAATAGCTTGATTAAAAGGGAGTACAACAACTAACTGGGGTTAAGAGTTATATGCTAAACAGGGTACTTGGGAGTACTGATATTCTTAACAAATTGCTTTTTATCATTTCAGAAACCTGTAAGAAAAGGACTGATGATATCGCAAGAAGAATTGGAGTCTGAACAAATAAATCTGTTTAAAAGAACTTGATTCTACTGATTTTAGTCCTGTCAATACTGTTTTTTTTTTGTTGCAAAGTATTTAAAGATGTTTTTAAAACTATATTCCAATTTCTGCAACAATTAAAGCTTTGGTTATAAATTAGATCATTGATTGAAGTTATTATGGTAATTTGTCAAATTCTCGGTTTTAGAGATATGTTATCTCCTTGTCAATGCAAGAACCTTATTGATTTGACTTTCAAGGTCACAGGACCAAGTTTAAACAGTTAGAAGTTGACAAGCTTTGCTTTGGCATAGTTGTTTTTATAAAGAATATCTTCCTTCAGAGCTTTGGTGTAATGGTGAGTGTGGTCGCCTCAAGTGCGGAGGTCGTGGGTTAGAACTTCGGCCCGGTCAAACCAATGACAATAAAATTATTATTTGTTGCTTCTCCCCAAAATGAGTTGAGAGCAAAGACTTCTTGGCCCGTAGTCAGAATAATGTGACATGTCTTCCTGCAAACTTGCCTTGTGGGCTAGAACCAAAAAATCTGGCACAACATGTTGGTCTATGTCGGTCCACCATTTTCTACATAAGAAAATGCCTGTACCAAGTCAGGAATATGACAGTTGTTATCCATTCGTTTGATGTGTTTGAACTTTTGATTTTGCCATTTGATTATGGACTTTCCTTTTTGAATTTTCCTCGTAGTTCAGTATTTTTGTGATTTTACTTTTTTCTATTACAAGACAGGGTATTTATTTCTAATAATCATGTTCTCATCCAGAATATGCATCTGACTTGCCACTGGTCGTTAAACAACCAACCATCCATCCAAGCTTATGAAGATGTTGCTTTTTCTTCAACTAAACACGTGCATTACCAATTAAGAAATGGATGAAATACAAAACACTGCACAATCAATTATATATTTTTAAACCAAAGTAATGGTGGTCGCACTAATGCATCATTGTTACACAAATGTGTTGAAAATGTTTGTTGGAGGTTGACAGAAACGTTTTTCATACGTTTTCTGAATGTTCCAAATAACGTTTCTTCAAAATGTTTTTGAAACATTTATAAGAGTCTACAAATTTTGGTTTTTAAAACGTTTTAATAAAACATTCTAGAAACCAAAACAAAACATTTTTAAAACGTTTTTAAAATGTTGAATTGTTTGCTGGGAAGGCGCCGGTACTTGAAGTCTGCATGGTCTGTGTTGCAATGAAGTTGTTTGTATGTATGTTGATGGCTTGATCTTGTTATAGACTGACTTTTTATGAGTTTATCTTGCAATGTTATTGCAATTTCATTGTTTATGGAACATTTGAAGTCTCGGTTTTTAATCTGCTTTCTTGAAAGGTTTGCCAGTTTAGATCATCATGTAGCTACAATCTATTACAGGCATATCGTGCAGCTCTTCTTTGCACTTGTTCCAGCCGGTTTATATATTCTAAAGTGTGTGGATCCAAAACTGTGCAACAATATTCAATTTTTGGTCTAACAATATAACTCAAATTCCTCAAATCAGCAGTCCGCTTTGTTCGTCTTTGGTATTTGCATTCTGATAATTTTTATCGGTAATTTGTTGTTTCTATTCAACCATGATGATCGAACGTTTAGCTTTTCTTGATTGTCTCCCTTATGTTTATTTCCGCTAAATTTTGTAGTTGCAAAATTATATATTTTTTCCTATTTTAGTTTTGAATTAATTTATTGTACCAATGACTACAGAAATCGAATGGAGACGACGTTGGAAGCCGGATCTTACATCTATTCCATGGCAACCGTTGAATATCGATGGTTATGTTTACTTGATCAAATGCAATTTTACACAAAACTCTTATGAGTTACTTCTTACCAACCTGAAAAGCTTTTGGCATGAAGAGTTATCAGAGAATGCCTTGAAAAAGCGAGTTCAGGTAATCATAGCGATGGAAATGACATAGCTCTGTCGGAATTGCACTTTCTGTGCTACTAAATCAACTGTTTACAGCCAACAACAGGTTGGGCTCAAGTCAAGAAAACTGGGGTATTCCCTGTTTTCAGGGAACACCCCAGTTTTCTGGTGTTTAAAAACCCCAGTAAACAGGGACTTCTTTTTTCTTGTCAATTTATGGTATGAAATCTACAAAAGCGCACCTTCTACATGTGATAACAATGTTATATGATAGCAAGTGTTTTTATAAGTTCAAAAATCAAGCTAATTTCAAGTCTTATTTGATGCTCAACTCACAACAAAACAATTCCTTTGTTCACCAATTCATACCTTGATCATCAATTATGAGAAGACAAAAAGATAAGTTAATCACTTAGGCATTTAAATTCAATGAATAGAAAATTTCAATAGAAGTGAACATAATTCAGTTATGATCAGTTACACCTGGAGCATGCAGCTTGATCAACTGATTCCTAAACAAAAGATTTGTATGTTTTTGAGTTCTAGAAAAAACAAGGCTTCACTTATTCATGTTTTGTTGTTCCTGAGATACTGAAAGAATTTATAAATACTACTGATACAGTTAAAACATGCGCTTTTGTAAATTTCATGCCATGAATTGAAATAGAAAAAGGAAGTCCCTGTAAACTGGGGTTTTTTAACACCAGAAAACTGGGATGGTCCCTGAAAACAGGGAATACCCCACTTTTCCTGACTTGAGCCCAACCTGTTGAATTTGACAATACACCTTATCGCTATTTCCACCATTTGTACTGGATATCACAAAGGTTCCCTTAAAATTTTGACGTCATAATACAAAATATCTGACACCACAATGGAAGAGTGATTGTTGTTTGACGTCAATAGTTCAAGCGGGACAGATTCTCGGGTCAACCGGGACAGATTTCAAAATAGCGATAAGGTGTATTGAATCATTGAGAGAACAGTTGACACAACTGTTCTCTACAACACAATCTAACTGTATAAATATCATTGTATATAGTTTTAAATCACTTAATTTCTTGGTCATGTCACACCAACGGTAGGTCTTTTCACCACCGCACACCGCCGAACACCACCGAACACATTAAAATACCATCTAACACACCTAAATATATTGTTTTCATCTTTATTTATATATTTTACTTACCTTCTGAACGAGGATGAATATGTTTATACATATGTATACATAAATTACAAATGTAATAAGAAATGATAACAAGAGAACCAAAAAGGACAGTCATGCAGGGCTGTTAATTGTCAGAACAGTACACTTTCAAGTCTAACATGTTTTTAAATATAATTATTGTGATAATTTCACATTAAATAAAATGTTTTAACTTATTTGGACAATTTATTTCTAATAATTGAAAAGTAAAGACCATAAGATAATATACAATGAAATGCAGACAATGTAAATCCAGAAAATTATTGCTGGATCAGGAAGCGTTTTTTTTTAATTTTGATTCTCAACTTTAACATCACTAATGCACACAAAAATGTGAAAACATGAGAATAGGATTCAATTTTACGTAATTTAATCGATTTTATTGTTTTATTGTGTAACATTACTGTTTTTCTTAAGGCTTAGTGGTCTTTTTGGGTGTTTCGGTGGTGAAAAGACGACCCGTCGCACCAAAGTGAATTCTCAAAATTTAAAAATTGTTGTTTTGCACTTTTCTTCGCTATATTTTATTTACATTCCCCATACATACAAACAGTAAGTAATCTTCAATGTTATGAAGTTGTAACTGTATGCCAGAAAAAGAAGAATAAAATTGAGAATGGAAATGGGGAATGTGTCAAAGAGACAACAACCCGACCATAGAGCAGACAACAGCCGAAGGCCACTAATGGGTCTTCAATGCAGCGACAAACTCCCGCACCCGGAGGCGTCCTTCAGCTGGCCCCTAAACAAATATGTATACTAGTTCAGTGATAATGGACGTCATACTAAACTCCAAATTATACACAAGAAACTAAAATTAAAAATGATACAAGACTAACAAAGGCCAGAGGCTCCTGACTTGGGACAGGCGCAAAAATGCGGCGGGGTTAAACATGTTTTTTGAGATCTCAACCCTCCCCCTATACCTCTAGCCAATGTAGAAAAAACAAACGCACAACAGTACGTACAGTAAAACGCAGTTTAAGAGAAGTCCGAGTCCGATGTCAGAATAGGAAACAAAAGAAAATAAACAAAATGACAATAATACATAAATAACAACAGACTACTAGCAGTTACTGACATGCCAGCTCCAGACCTCAATTAAACTGATTAAAAGATTATGTCTTCATCATATGAATATCAGGCACAATCCCTCCTGTTAGGGGTTTAGTATTATACCGTCATAAAATATATGAGAAGAACATAAGTCTATTTGACACACAGGGGGAAAGCAGTACTAGTTATTTAGCATGTGCTCCTTGAATCTTTTCTACATGTACATGGTCTACATGTATGACTTGTTAGTGCTGGCCCGAGAACACAGCTACATTATAGTTCATGGTGGATTTCTTTTAGACAAAAAATGCAAATTAAAAAAATTGCACCTGCTATATCCAACAAAGATTTTTACAGTGTAGTTCTATACTATGACGTCCATTTTCACTGATCAAGTACACATTTTTATTTAGGGGCCAGCTGAGGCCCGCCTCCAGGTGCGGGATTTTCTCGCTGCATTGAAGACCTGTTGGTGGCCATCGGCTGTTATCTGCTCTTTGGTTGGGTTGTTGTCTCTTTGACATATTCCCCATTTCCATTCTCCATTTTACTATTGGGACAAATTACATTTTGTATATCAAAGTTATGGAAAAGTCTATCGGCTCTGACTAAAAATATGGACAATTTTATGTTATAGATATAAGAAGATGTGGTATGAGTGCCAATGAGACAACTCTCCATCCAAGTCAAAATTTATAAAAGTAAACCATTATAGGTCAAAGTACGGTCTTCAACACGGAGCCTTGGCTCACACCGAACAGTAAGCTATAAAGGGCCCCAAAAATTACTAGTGTAAAACCATTCAAACGGGAAAACCAACGGTCTAATCTATATAAAAAACGAGAAACACTTATGAACCACATCAACAAACGACAACTACTGAACATCAGATTCCTGACTTAGGACAGGTGCAAACAAATGCAGCGGGTTTAAACGTTTTAATGGTACCAAACCTTCACCCTTTTTCTAAAACAATAATGTAACATCACAACATAGAAAGAAACACTTTAAAATATGGTTAAGGGATGTACGATTGAGTTGACAGCTTCAGACAGTCACATATTTATTTTTGACTTTTTCAAACTTTCAAATTTAAAAAAAATGTTTAAACACAAACAAAATTAAGAAAGATCTTTGATTATATTTAGAAGAGACGTATCCTATAAACTGATTCCCAACCTGCTGATGTTTTGGATACACAGATATATTTATTGGAAGTCAAAAATCCACAAAAAAAGGGGCAGTAAGAAAGTTTTATTACCTTTGGAATATAATTTTACAGTATCCATAAATGTAAATGATAATTATTATTCTGATTTAGTGTTCATTTATGAACATATTGAATATGAAATAGAGATATGAGATTAGTGTAACCATTATAATAGATCCCAGATGTCCATGAGCATGATGAGAGGATTATGCTGTGAACTGATCGTTAAGGATTTTCAAAGTATGACAGTATGGTCGTCCAGGAATATATATTTTTTTTTACACTTAGGAAGTGCGACAAACCTTCCATTAATTTTTCATTTTTGGAAGGAAAATATATATGTAATGAGCTTTTTTCTTAACTGAATGTAAAAAAGTGTATCAAGCTACTCATGATGAGGCAAAAGAAATATGTGTGTCTACAGTACCTTGACCGACTTTTTTTCACAGAAAATTGGACAAATTTTAAAAAAGCACAATCTTCTAGTTTCTTTATATAATTACTTCACTGGGAAAAATTGATTTAGTTTTGGTAGCTTACATGTCTTTGGCGTCTTAAAAATGTCTGCCAATGGTGGTGAATATTCACCTTTTAACACGATAACTTTTCAACTTTGTAACCACTTCACCTTCAGGTGAGTGGCCGTGATATTTTTCTTGTCTGAATTTAAGAAAACCACTTGCATAACATATAGAAATTTTGTACTTTCTGAAGAAACTACCATTATGGACACAAAATCATCATGATCATTAAATCATTCCATTGTGTTCAGATTTTAATTTCTCTGATGTACCACTAAAAAATTTCCCAAGTGCACAAGCTGCCATGAATATCTCTAGTCTGGGATTGGTATTGTTTGTGTTTTGATAAATATGCATATAATATTATGTGAGAATACAGAATGTGGACAAAAACCCTGTCCTAATAATTAAGTGACTGAACATGAGGGAGCTCATTAAATTTGTTTGTATATTTTTATAATTTCACATTTGTTACTAGTATGAGATCTGAAAATCAAGGATATTAATTATAAGGGATCTTGGTTTTATATTGTTGTGTCTCACATTCTTTAATAATTTTCCTTAAAGAGCAAAAATTAGGTTTCATGTGATTGTTCCATAACTTTAGATTGTAAAAATTAATTTAAATCAAAACCATGAATTTTATGATAATTCTTTTATATTTTACAGAAATTAAATCCTAGTATAGAGGCTTCAGTTTCTAGGATATTGGACCAGATTAAGAATTGCCTTGAAAGTCAAGAAAGAGGAACCAGTATAACAATTGGATTTAAAGATGAAGAAGAAAATTCCAAAATGGTTCTTAAGATTAACTCCCAGCTTGCAGGGTTGCCTTTTTGTTGGAATTTTGTAGGAAATGCAGCTGACAAAGAAATGGTACAGAAACCTTTTATAGAAACCAAGGGAGGCTGTCACTACAACCTGTGGGTCTTTATCCTACAAGGGAGGTTGTTTAAGACATAGTCACTATAACCTGTGGGACTTTATACAGTCTTTAAAATAGTTAAAGAGGACTAACATGAATAAGTCCTAATTTCAAAAGAAAATCTAATTGAAAGTGGTCAAGATCAGTAATCTCGAATCTATTTTTTTATGGCAGTTTACGAACGCAATTTGAAACAGTTTAGAAATTAGGGGCCAAAAAAGGGCCCAAATAAGCATTTTTCTAGTTTCCAGACAATAACTTGTGGAATGGTGTATGAATCTCTCTGAAATTATACCACAAGTTTCCATACCACAAAGGGATGGTAAGAATTGGCTTTGGGGGGGTTATGGCTCAAACAGTTAAGGAATAAGGGGCAAAAAAGGGGGAAAACAAGGGTTTCCAGGTTAATGGACAATTACATAAGTACAAAACATAATTTAAAAGCAGTGTAAGGGAGGTAATTCAAACACATTTGAATTACTGCACACACTGCTTTTAAATTATGTATATTGGAAATTTGCCAATAACTTTAGTATAATTGGAAATTTGCCAATAACTTTAGTATAATTGGAAATTGCCAATAACTTTAGTATAAGTAAATATAAATCTATGAAATTTAAACACAAGGTTTGAAACCACAAAAGTAAGGATGGGATTGATTTTGGGGGTTATGGTCCCTATGGTTTAGGAATTAGGGGTCAAAAAGGGGCCCAAATAAGCATTTTTCTAGGGTCCAGACAATAACTTGTGGAACAGTGTATAGAATTGTCTGAAGTTTCAACACCACAAAAGGATGGTTAGGATTGGCTTGGGGTGGTTATGGCTCAATCTGTTTAGGAATTAGGGGCAGAAAAGGGGGAAAAACAAGGGTTTCCTGGTTAATGGACAATTACTTTAGCTTTGTTTCTTTATGTTGGTACTTTTTGCTATTTGTTTGCTAGTTCTAGTATGAAATATTTTTTAGCTGTTTCTAGAAACATCAAATACTGTGATTTAAATACATATAATATTGTAATAGTGTATATCAAAGGGTTCAGTGGTAATACATTTTTATACTCAGAATTGATTATTCTTTGTTTGGGTTTTTTTTGCATTAGAGTTACCTCCCTTACAATGGTTCCATACTACAAAGGAAAGACTGGGATTGAGTTTGATGGTTAATGCTCCAAGGGGGATTCGAAAAGTTTGGGGGGGGGTTCCAATTTTTGTCGAGCCTTCAACTTTTGTCGAAAAAGCGAGACATAGCGATCCTACATTCCGTCGTCGTCGTTGGCGGCGTCCACAAATATTCACTCTGTGGTTAAAGTTTTTGATATTTCAATAATTTTCTTAAACTATCCTGGATTTCTACCAAACTTGGACAGAAGCTTGTTTATGATGATAAGATAATATCCAAAAGTAAATTTTGTAAAAAAAAAAATCCATTTTTTCCGTATTTTACTTATAAATGGACTTAGTTTTTCTGCCAGTTAACATTACATTCACCATGTTCACTCTGTGGTTAAAGTTTTTGAAATTTTAATAACTTTCTTAAACTATCCTGGATTTCTACCAAACTTGGAAAGAAGCTTGTTTATGATCATAAGATAGTATCCAGAAGTAAATTTTGTAAAAAAAAAAAAAAATTTTCAGTATTTTACTTATAAATGGACTTAGTTTTTCTGCCAGTTAACATTACATTCACTCTGTGGTTAAAGTTTTTAAAATTTTAACAACTTTCTTAAACTATCTTGGATTTGTACCAAACTTGGACAGAAGCTTGTTTATGATTAAAAGCTAGTATCTAGAAGGAAATTTTGTTAAAATTTTGTTCCATTTTTTCCGTATTTTACTTATAAATGGACTTAGTTTGTCTTCCAGTTAACATTACATACAGTCTGCAGTTTAAGTTTTTAAAACATTTATTAGATTCATAAACTATCCTGGATTTTTACCAAACTTGGACAGAAGCTACTTACAATCAAAAGATAGTATAGAGAGGAATATTTTTATTAATTTTTTTCCTCATTTTTGTTGAGCCTGCGATTAACAGCAAAAGTAGGCAAGATACTGGGTTCTGAGGAACCTTTATGAATTTTTTTAAAGGGGTTCATATTTTTTTCCCCAAATTTTTCGATTTCTAATTTTTGAAAAGTTTCAAGAAGAAATCTTCAATTGCACAGTATTGCACATTAGATTTGTAAGATCTTTGACCACATTTATTTTGTGTCAGAAACCTATATTATGTCAAATATTTGATCACAATCCAAATTCAGATAGTATCAAGCTTGAATATTGTGTCCAAATTTGCCCCAACTGTTTAGGGTAGGACCTCTGCGGTCATATCATGCTTTGCTCAGCGAAGCATTTTATTTTAGATGTAGGAGTTAGCATATCTTCTATGCATGTTTTTTTTTGTAAAATATTTTGAATGTTCATCATTGTACTTTCAATGTCTTGAACTTTATATATCTGGTTTAAGAAAATGAATTGTCAATAAAATAGTAAAAATTAAATGTACGGATATACCATAAAGCATGAAAAAAACATGTTCTACTTAGTATACCATTAAATACAAATGTGGACTTCTTTCACAGGTTACACCTGACTCATAAATGTCATATTATTGAAAATAAGAAGCACAATTATCCAATATAATGTTTATGAATAAAATGGATAAGCATTGATTCTTGAAAAAGAAACCATGAGCCCGGAGGGCGAATGGTTAGTTTTTCATGAATCAATGCTTATCCATTGTGTCTCTAACTTAAACTTTTGTGCTGATGTCTTTTCAAAATTAAAGCCCTTTCTTAATTAGAAGGTATTGTAAGTGAGTTTAAATAACCATGTTATCATGTTCAACAATTTATAAATAAATCAAAGTTCACAATGAATTGGTTAGAGAAATACAAATATAACATAACACGTCTTATCTTTTAATGATTATGCATCTGAATAATATCCGTAATTTACAAAATGAAACACATTCAAACTTATTTCTAAGTATATATGATAAGTATGTTACCGAAATTTCTAGCAAGAAACCTAATTCTATGCACATCACAATTTACTCGCATAGGGATTTGCGAATAAACATTTGTAAAGATGGATATGGATATGTAGTAAAACAGATGAAATCATACTATATAAAACAAAAATGGACAAATTGAATGTAATCATTTTCTTTTCAAATACGTGCAATAGCCAATAATAATCCAAAAATAAACAGGAAGTCCTGCTATTATTACAAAAATATCCACAATAACATACAAAATAAGAAAAACGGAAAAAACTAAAGAATAGGGACAACAAAGAGAAAACAGGCTATCGTACCTGAAAGGACCAGTCTCTACTTCTAACTTGACTTTATAACTCATTGATCTTAACCTCGCAGCTAGTGAATGCATATAAAAATTACAAAAGTTAACGGTAAGCTTTTAAATTAATTCCATTAGGTGAACAGAAATCCGTAAATTAGCCAATTCAAATTTAATGAAATAAGGCACACAAAAGAAACAATTGAATATAATTTGGTGAGTCCATTTCAGCAACAGATTTAGGAAGCTTTGATTCTAGAAAAAGAAACCACGGTAAATGAATAGGCTGACGTCATGGCAATGGTTTAAGAATATGACCTATTCACTTGTCTCTTATCATGTTCAATTTTAAAAGTTTTTGTTTTTAATTACCTTCACAAGTTATGTTGGAAATGAGTCTCTGTAAAATATTACTTATACTAGTCACTTTTTCAAAATGTTTTTTCATATAATTTGCAGAATATGTACAAATCTTACAGATTTTACTAGCTTAAAAAATTTTCTCAGACATCTGGTCATTCTTTTCATGAAGCATAAAATGTAATCCTCCTGAAACACTTATTCCTATCCTGACGCACATAGTTAATTCTTTTGGGACTATTAAACTATAATTTTCCTTTAAAAATCTTGAAGGTAAATGAATAGAAACATTTAATTTTATTGAGATTTGAATTTATTTATCAATGTTTATAAAATCAAAATTTTGGTGAAAGTTGACAAAATTGTCTGGATTTTAACAATATTTAGGCATAATCATGTACCTAGATGGAGAAAAAATGATAAATTGCATTGATCCAGTTTGTTTTTCTACATCTTTTAAAATTCAGTACAAAAAAATATTTTCACTTATTGTTAATTTTATTTTCACTATCTCTATAGGCCTCAGAAAACTTGATAGTTCCACTAATGGCCATGGTAGGTGAATTAACAAGAAGGCAGAGAGAACTTATCAAAATACTTCAAAGTAAAGACAAAGAGATAGACGATTACAAATCCCAAGGTGGAAAAACAACACGAAGTGAGTATTTGTAGGGGAGAGTAATACAGATTGTCAGCACTGATTTACAATCCTCAGGTTTGATTCTCATGTGATTGCTAGTTTGGCTGTAGATGACTTCGACTGTTCTGTATTTGTAAAACAAAATAAGACTATGTCGTTTGATTGCCAATGAGACATTTCTTTTCCAAATGCAATATAAGTAAGCAACTATAGGTCATTGTACGACCTTCAACAATGAACAAAACCCATACTGCACACCTGCATATCAAGATATAACAGGCATTGATATGAAAAATGTGAAACAATTCAAACAAGAAAACTAGTGGCCTGACTTAAGTACCAAACAGTAAACAAAAAACAAGTATGATATATGGTCCTTTTAAATGTTTTTCACAAATATGTATTGCTGTTGACCTCTCAGTATTAATCTCTGATTAAGCTTTATCCAGAAAATTGTGTTTTGAAAACTGAAATTGTTAACATGCAATTACTTTAAAATAACTGATTTATTGCTATATTTCAGGAAAGATTTGATATTGTGATATTGTGATGAAATATTTTCTAATTTTATGTCTGCCATTGTCATGTTTATGTCAAGTTTGTAAGGGGCAATAATCTTCAAAATGAGAAAAAAGACTTTAAAAATTTTCTTGTTAACTCATTTTATGTACTTTCTTAGAAAAAAAAATCATAAACGATAGTCCTCAGTGTGTTTTGAATATCAAAAATATTTTCATATCGTTTGTACCATTTATAGTCTTCATTGTTCTGTAAATCTAACTGAGATTCAGTGCATTTCTCATGTTTCTATGAATCATTAACCCTCAACAATGTTGTGATATTTAATATGTATAGATAAGAACATTTTAATAGTACACTAATAAAGGCTATACAGACTCAAACCTGAAACAACACTTTATTTTACTATACATGTATGTTTATCATTGAGTATTTAATTATTTAATCACTGAAATCATGTCTCTTCTTTTAAAAGTTGAAAGATTTATTTCTTTGCTGTAAAATAGTTGTACAGTAACTTTTATTTGGAAGTAATAGTAAACAATGTAATTTGACAATTGTTTTTTTTTTATATTACAGAACATATAGAAACTCAGGAGTTTGTGGAAACAGCATTTGAAAACACAATGTTGATGTCAAAGGTTTAAATTTCAATAAATACAGTAATTTATACATTTCAAATAATTAAAAATGATTTTAATCAATGAAAAAAAGATTTAAAGGTTATCATTTGTAAATGCACTCAGTAAAAAAATAAGTAAATGCAGATTTAAAAATAATTTGCAGGTAGATTTGAAGCATCTAATGAAATTTTTTTTATGCATTCACAATATTGAAAAGTCCTTTCGATAGCCTCTGAAAACAAAGAAAAGCAATGAACAGGTAAAGTTTAAAAAAAAAGAAAAGATTGGGAGAGATTTACCTATGAGACAAATTCTTTTTTGGATACTAGAATTGAACAAAGAAATGTTATCTTCATGGAAATTATTTAAACATCAAATTGAATGAAAAAGAACATACACACACAAGAGATCAGGAACATCAACACAGTTAAAAATTTTCAATTGTACAGAATATTTTCAAATGATTTTCTCTAATAACAAAACTTCACAGTACCCTAATTGCAGTGAGTACCCAATCTGCAACCATTTAAAAAAAGGGACAAAATTCTTATAGGTTTTCTATTTCAACATAGCTAAATATACTTAAAAGTTTCACATAACGGTCACATTATATATCAACAGATAAAGTCTCCACTCTCCAGTATAAAAAAATTCTTTGATTCAGACTTCAGTATGGATTCAAAATTAATTTTGTGGAAATTTAAAATAGATAAGGATATGTCTACAAAAACAACACAGAATGGAAACCTTTGTCTGTTTCTTAGATAAACAAATGTGGAAAACTGTTAAAAGACATGCAATTTCGATACCCTCACTTAAATACTGTTATGTGTATGCAGGGATTCTCAAGAAATTAAATGCAGTGTTACAAATCTGTCCTCTATCATGTCACTTGCTCAACAGATATGCATGAGCCAGGCAACATACAATTAAACAAAGCATTTTCACAATCATTATACAACAGCTTGATAAATAAATTGAAGCAAAAATATGTCTCGCCTGCTAAGTAAGAGGGACTTCAGAAAATATTTGCAATCTGTATGTCAATATCATTATAGGTTAAATTCTTCTAACTTCAAGATCGTTTTGTATATATTTGAATACATGCGTAATTATGTGTGTGAGAGGCTAAGAGTTTTTTCATTTATAGTACATTTTCTTTTTGCTTTTGTAAATACTGCATTTAATCATAGATTAACTGGGAATAACTAATAGATGACTCATGAAGGTCAACTTTAATGTCTTTCAATTACAGGGTTTTGAAGAGGAAGTGGAGAGTTTTGGTAGTTCAGCATTTGATGACAGTGGCCAGGATCTGTACCGTCAAATCATGACCAAACATTCTTGGTTGCACAGACAAAAAAGTGAGGTTATTTTTATTACTAAAGTTCCGTTCTTTTTATTTGAGATAATTGAGTGATTAAGATCTTTAATATAAGAAAAAGCTTAAATTATGAACAGCTAAAATTTTTAGTGTCAAATATTATTTATCATAAGTCTTATCACAGCACTGGTAAACATTAAATGAATGGATTAAAAAGAATGAATGTTTGGGGGGTTTACTGTTTTTACCCTGTCCATCTCATGAAATTTCTGCACATTTGTCTCTTAATCTACAAGTCAGAGCTTCCCAAATTTAAAATCAACCTTTATGTTAGTGCAGGCTTTACTGTGTTATGTGTTTTCATAATCATCTCCCATCAACCTCCTGTTTACCAAATACTTATATTTTCTCACACATGATAGTCATGTATTAAATTTTGTCACATTTTTTGTAGGAACTGAATACTGAATACTTAGATATAAGAAGATGTGGTATGAGTGCCAATGAGACAACTCTCCATCCAAGTCAAAATTTATAAAAGTAAATCATTATAGGTCACAGTACGTTATATACTGTATATTCAGAAATTATTGCGATGTTTTTATTATTGCGAAAAATGCGACAGGGTTATAATCGCAATAATTTTAACTCGTATTTTGAAATTTTTTATATGAATTAAACAGGATTATTCTCAATATCGCAAAAATTAAAATCGCATTTTATTCTAAAATGACAAAATCTCAATAATAAATGCACACAATAATTTCTGAATTTACAGTACTCAAACACTTAATGGACATTTATGAAATTTTCATCACATTTTTCTGAGAAACTACAAAATCAGAGCACCCTGAAATTTGGTATCAATATTCTTGTGACCATGCTATACAGTGTGTAAGTTTTCACATCCATTGCTATTCAGCTTCCTGTTTACCAAATATTTATAGCAGGGTATTAGGAGTGAGCAGTAGCTCACAGTTAAACTTGTTTTGTCAAAATGAACTCTTTGGTTTTGATCGACACAATGAATGATATGTTAATTTCTAAAAAGGCAGAGTATAATACCTTTGGTTCCAATTTTTAGATGATACAGAGACAGAATCATCATCGCTAGGTTTGTTGCTATTTATAGCATGTTAATTTGTTTATTTGTATTCGCCATTGTCTTGTTTATAAGAAAAAAGGACATATTTGTCTGTTATAATGTATGCATGCTACCAAAGAGTTAATTATATAAATTTATATCAGTTATTTAAAGGTTGAGGATAATTATTCAGTATATAGTTGCTTGTTTATATTTCAGGAAAATATCTTGCAGTAATTTTATAAACTATAGCTACATTTGAGGAATATCTGAAAGAATTATTTATAAAAAAAAGACACATTTTTTTTTAATTTATTCATGGAATTTGATACTTAAAATGATTTCTAACTCAAAAAATAAGCGAAATTCATGCTAATGCATTATGCTTTAATTTATGTAAATAATTCCTGATCCAAAAGATTTATTTATTTTCTAGGTAAATGTAATTGTACTTATTTATTTTCTAGGTCAATTTAATTGTTGCATTATTTTTATTTGGCAACTTTATTGAAATTCATGGTTGTGCATTTAAAAAAGAATACACGTAAAAGCTATTCCATTTAAACATTGAACATCTGTAGGTGAGAGCTATCAAATGTCTATCATTCATTGTTACTTATAAAATTTAAACTTTGTAAGAGAAATATAAATATAAGGAGATGTTTGAGAAGTCTGTATTAAATCTTTAATCTACTGGTGGTCAAACAGCCAAATGGGGCAATATGCGCAAATTGTTTTCTCCATAGGCGGTAATGGTAACGTTTTCTTCTGTAGCTCAGTCCATATCGTAAACTTGGATATGTATGATGGCTCGTTTCGAAGCTGAGACATTTTCACATATGTGGTTAAATTTTCAGGGTACGAAGTGAGATTACTTTTTCTGTAAATTAGCATACCCCGAAAATCCTTTCGTGATGCAGCTCCTCGTGGTAAAAAATCCCTTTTTTTAACAAAATAAGTTCTTTAAAAATTTAATACTTTGAACACATTTAATAGCTCCATAGTTTTTACACATTTATTCTATGTTCCTCTACTTTCCAAATCAACACAAATGGTTAAGCTCAGTCACTTGTTAAAAATAGAAACATGTCCAATATCACTACACAGAGATTTTTTGTTTACACGCAACTTTTGAGTTCCTCATTTTGAGGCGCATTTGGGATATTGATCCAAATATAGATGTTTAGATAGAGTAGCCTAACACTAAACAAGCATTTTTGCCAAATTTAAAAAAAATAAAAAGCTATGGAGGTATTATTGTAGACTCAATATATATGAAGTCATATATAGGGCAATAATGCTGTGAAGTTACTGTGAATTGAATTCATTTCAGTATAAGTATAATTGAGTACATAAATCGTTGAGTGCAACCCTCTTGAAATTGTTGTATCACAAATTTCTTCAGTTAAAAGATGTAAAAATTGTTTTTTAATGGAACAGATTGGCTATTATTATAAAATTGGCTTTGACGTTGGTTGACATTTTTTTTACAGTTTGTGTTTATATATTTAAGTTTTGATTATTTTGCTAGTTATACCTCTCATCAAAAAGTTATTTGATTGTGTTTAAAATTCAAAACTAAATAATGTGTTATGATACTGTTTCCATACAACAAACAATAAAAGGAAGAGTATTTCAATCATTTTCATGTGATAACTAATATAAAAAAATAGAACAAAGGTTGTGAACTTGCTTTAGCAGTACAAAAAAAATCTTTATAATTATATATGTCAAAATGATTTTGAAACCAATTTCATTTAATTTGGTTTTGAGATATTAAAATATGTCTAAAAAGATAAATGTATTTCTCTTATTTCTACACAAGAAAATTTGGAAACTAAATAATTCTTCCCTTTTAAATGATATAATGTACAAGCTTTATGTAAATGTTATAAATTTTCTCTTTTTTACTGTAGAGAGTGGATAGATATTGTAGCTCACAAGCAAATAGAAGGAATATTTGTCTATCCCATATATTTTTCTGTCTTTCGTGTGAAAAAACCTGTGATGCTGTTGCTAATGCAAGACAAAGTTGAATAATATTATTCAATTATAGTGAATAAGCTGTCAATCACAGCAACTTGAAATAACAGTTTTTTTTTAGGGCAGACCATAAACATAATAGATTTACAATTTTACCCTTTTATTTTAATGACATCACTGGGTGTGGTATAAATGGAAGATATTATTATTGAAAAATGCTGTGCAAATTCTGTTGTCACTTGACTCTTGACATATTTTGTCTGTTTAGGTTGACAGAATCTACAATGTAATTCTTGTATTATTGTTTTTCAAGAATTATACATTACCGGTAGTTTTCAATCTTAATTGTAGCAAAATTATATTATTGTCTTAAGTGTAACACATTACTAAACTAGATTAAGATGGATTTATTTGTTTCGGTTATTTATTTATATTTCTTTTAGGAAAGTGTTAATTCTACATGCCTCAGGTTAAGCTGCTTAGATGCTATAGTTAGAATGGAATCATCAGTTGCTGAATGCCAAATTGCTTATGATTAAGCTTTTTAGACATTTAATATATGTTGTAGATAGTTGATATAGATTTCTAATACTGTGGATTCATTTATATTCGTGGATACCAATTTTCGTGGATTGAGGAAAACTTACATTTTCATGGATATATAATTTTGTGGTTTTACCAAAATTGGCATACAATATGAAAATAAGAAAATGTGGTATAATTGCCAATGAGACAACTCTCCACAAGAGACCAAATGACACAGAAATTAACAACTATAGGTCACCGTACGGCCTTCAACAATGAGCAATACAATACAAGCCTATAGAAAATTTATAATTCGTTGAACATTTAAATTTGTGGTTCACCTGTTTCCACAAAATCAACGAAAATTGGTATCCAACGAATAATAATGAATCCACAGTAGTGCTTTTCTTGTCAATAATTTTGTAAGAATTATTTTTTATGCCCCACCTATGATAGTAGTAGGGGCATTATGTTTTCTTGTCTGTGCGTCCGTTCGTTCATCCGTCTGTCCGTCTGTCCTGCTTCAGGTTAAAGTTGTTGGTCAAGGTAGTTTTTGATGAAGTTGAAGTCCAATCAACTTGAAACTTAGTACACATGTTCCCTATGATATGATCTTTCTAATTTTAATGCCAAATTAGAGTTTTGACCCCAATTTCACGGTCCATTAAACATAGAAATGATAGTGTGAGTGGGGCATCCGTGTACTATGGACACATTCTTGTTATTGTACTGCAGTTATGTAAATAGTTTGTTAGATACATTTTTTTCTGGTGATTTAATTATGTGGACTAGCTTTGTCACATTGGTGGTGATTTCAGGATAAAGTATGGAAAGTATCATGATGTGTACAATAAGGATGTTTTTTTACTAAATGGTTTACACAACATTGGAGTTCATATAATATTCCTAAACGATTTTTATACAACCGCAAAATTTTGCGGTCATATATTGGTATGACGTTGGCGTCGTCGTCGTCCGAAGACACATAGGTTTTCGCACTATAATTTTAGTTTAAGTGAATAGATCTCTATGAAATTTTACCATAAGGTTAAATACCACAAAAGGGAGGTTGGGATTGATTTTGGGGGTTATGGTACCAACAGTTAAGGAATTAGGGGCCAAAAATAAGCATTTTCTAGTTTCCAGACAATAACTTGTGGAATGGTGTATGGATCTCTCTGAAATAATACCACAAGTTTCCATACCACAAAGGGATTGTTAGGATTTGTTTGGTGGTTATGGCTCAAACCGTTTAGGAATTAGGGGCAAAAAAGGGGGAAAAACAAGGTTGTCCTGGTTAATGGACAAATACTTTAGTACAAAACATAATTTAAAGCAGTGTAAGAGAGATAAATCTCATTTTTACATCATTTGAATTTCCTCCCTTACACTGCTTTTAAATTATATATAAAGTAACGGTTAATAAACAAGACAATTTAAAAGCAGTGTAAGGGAGGTAATCCTAATACAACGTTTTGATTACTTCCCTTACACTGCTTTTAAATTATGTTTAAAGAAATGCATATTTATAAAGGAAGACCAGTAAAAATATCTGCAAATTTTGCATCTTTTTTTTTTTTACAAAAAAGTCCATATGAAAGATTTGACACCATATTTTAAATTCTATTATAAAATAGATTAAGTCAGCACTATGGTAAATTTAAATGGGTAATTATGGTTGCAAACTCCATTGGAAATTTGAATTGAGATTATGACCATATCTTGAGGGAAAGAATTTTTGGGGGGAAAAGGGGGGGGGGGGGGTAAAAAGAAATTGTGGGGGTCAATTTTTTCTCATTTCAGATTTCAGAAATTAAAAAGAATTATTCTTCAAATATTTTTTTTTTTTCAAATTTCAAATATTGAAAAATTTCAAGAAGTAATCTTTAATTGCACAGTAGGCCCGAGAACACAGTTATTTCGTAGTGCATTTCTTTTAGAGAATAAATTCAAATTAAAAAAATCGCACCTGCTCTATCTCAAAAAGATTTTTACAGTGTAGTGTACTACTATTGATACAAATAATATCAAAATTATAGAAACTTCTACCAGCTCAAACTCAAAATATTGACAATTCTGTGTTAAGGGGGGCTACAATTCAGTTTGACAGCTTCAGACATTCTAATTTTTGACCTTTTTTAACTGGACCAAATCACTACTTAACATAAAGATTCAGCACCCAAATTTTTTTAGAATGTAATTTCATCCCCTTACTTAATATTTCATGCATAAAATATCAAGAAATAAATTGGGAAAGTGTATAAAAAAAAAATGCAAGTTATACACTGTTCACACTAGGGACTATATTCGTAGACAACGAAAACCAAAGGACGATAACTGTGTCCTTGGACCTAATAGGATAGAAAGACTTGACCAATTTTAATAAAACTTTGCATGACCTAAGCTTAGGAAATTATAAGTTGGTTGGCCATAGGATATATATTATAGAAACTAGGGCCATTTTAGTATTGAAATTTGGATGTTTATTTTTGACGTTTAAATCAAATATTTTCAACTGTCAA